TTGTTTTCTGATTGGATACTAGTCGGCAAGTAGTCCAAAGCGTCTAGTTTGGTGCCAGTTGAATTCTATCAGTCAAGTTTGCAATGTGGCCACCATGCGCAAATAGGTGGCGCTCCATCACGGTGCACTATGAATTGCTGTTAACAGATGGTTGGAGGCAATCGGCAGGAAGCCTTGGATACCACTTAGGTTTCTTGCTAGTTGGCACACACCAGTCAGTCAGCAAGGCAGGCGTATCTGCAATCTTGAAGGGACTCATGTCTCTCCTGAGATTCGAGCCCGCCTCAACCAGTAGAAGTGCAGTCAGTCATAGACGTTTACACTGAGCTATTCACTCTCGCGACTGGCCTCCTGTAGGAGTGTATTGGATACTTGAGTTGGACATGAGTTCCTTCAAGGTTGCAGATACGCCTGCTTTGCTGACTCATGAGTGCCAACTGGCACGAAACCTAGGTCCAAGGCTTCTTGCCCACTGCCTCCAACCATATAATACTTCACCCTCGATATGGTAGACCCTACTGGTCACGACTTCCCGTTGCACGGCTTCAGGAAGTCGATCCACCAGTAGCATCAGTTTGAGCTGGCGATTGATATTCAGATTATACATAAGATTTCAGTTGATCCGTGGTGAAAGCCTAACAACTGGAATCAATCCAAATTCTCCACAAATTCTATAATATGAATACTATTGATTTTTTCTGTTTTTTTGGGAGAAATGATTCCATTTATGATAAATTCAGTAATTTGTATTTTTGTTTACAAACTCTCATTTATTTTTCTGCTGATTTTGAAGCTCGACAATCTTGAGTAGGATGGCGTATAGAGAGTCATGGTTTCTGGTTTAGGGCATTCAACTTCTAGCCACTGGTTCGAACCCTTCTCCATCTGACATGATTTGACTAGCCATTTATTATTGTTATAATTATTATTAGTAGTAGTAGCTACACAATAGGTACGGCTGATTGCTAACAGTATGTAAATGCAATTAGCTGTTGAGTAACCCTGACTAGTCAACTGCCTGACTGACTAGCTGACTGAGCGTCTAAAAGTTACAGGATTGGTTTCCAATGATTCTCAAGTTGATTTCAGTTGTCTTCCTATTAGAATAAAACTGTGTTAAAGTAACAGAATTCTTCTTATTCGACTAATCAGGAAGAACAATAAGATATGCGGCTATAAAGAGTAATGAAAACAACATTTGAGTGTTTATAGTAATGGACTGTGAATGTTGTGTGCCTTTACAGCTTGCATTAATGCCTTCTTTGTCTGCCTTCATGACTACTCATTGGCTTTCATTCATTCCTCATATTGTGGTGGTGTGACACAGACAATGCGTTCCAACGGAATATGATTCTCACATATTCCACAGTTCTACACATGATTAGCAACAAGGATACTATATGTGACACGGGTTCGAATCTCAGAAGTCCCTTCAAGGCTGCAGATACACCTTCCTTGCTGATTGACTGGTGAGTGCCAACTAGCACGAAACCTAGGTAGTGGTGTCCAAGGCTTCCTGCCAATTACCTCCAACCGTCTAATACAATCTCCTTCATGTCGTTTAATGTAAACTAAAATCACACGCTCATTGACTGGTTAACGAATATAAAATGTATACATATATATATAAACAGCGGTTTGATTAGTGAAAAAGATACCTTGGCTTCCGTGTCTTGCCTTCTATTGTTACAATATGATGTCCTCCATTTCACCATCGGATGCCTAAATTGTTTTTTCCTAATAGGGTTGCACTTGAGGGCATGGTGTGTGTTGTCTCTGGAGATAATGACCGTAGACTGAATGAATTATGAATCGATGTTGTTTAAGCACCATTAATGTTGTTGTTCATAACACTAATTCATTCATTCACTATGATGTATATATAACTGTAGAGCCTGATAATGAAGTTATCGAAAAGAGTATTCTTTGTTCAGGAAGCATCTTCATTGTTTCGATTTCAAAGATGTACTTTTATAAGAATCTCATAGGTGTATTTCTGTAGAATTCTCAGCCGGTTTCACTGGAATATTTTCAAACAAAATAACACATAGCTGTGTAATAGCGAAAATAATATGAACGCCTTATATGCAACAGAGGTAAAGAGGAAACTGTGAGATCAATGGGTAATATATCTTTTTCTCTCTCCTTTAGTTGTATAGTCTATTTTAATTGTCTATTTTGTTCCTCTACGTTCCCAGTGGAATTTATGACTTCAAGCTGGGGCTTTGAATTTTCGGTAGCAGTGAGTTTGCTAGCCTCACGCTTAATCTTCCCTCTTTACCACTGAACTTATTACCGGCTTGGCAAGGTAAAATATTGAGTCGGTCGGAGTTCGAACCCCAGACCACGTTCGTTGTTGATGAGTGTGCTACTGCTGCAACACCTACGCCCATTCGATAGCTAGGTTTCACCATTTAAAGAAATCTGATTGACTATAATGCTCTCATATATATATATATATATCTTCAGAGAATAAATGGAAGCTAAGAAGTACTTGTCACCTGTTCCCTTGTTAGTTTAAGACACTATAACAAGCCTCTTTAGCTCCCGATGATTGGATGGTAAACTTGTTCCCTTCGTAATCTCAAGGTAATCGATTCCATCTTCGATGGATTTTTGTAAGCTTCACATAAGGCTAAAACAACTGTTTCGTGTTGTTCCCTGATTCTCTCACCTATATAATTAATTATTCGTTATAAAATTTGTCTTGAAATCAATCAAATAGTTATCTTTCTGAAATATTTTATACGAATTAAAGCAAAACACATCTGAATGAGGTAAACACACAGTCAGTAACTCTCTCTCTTCTCTATAGCAGAAATGAACTAATTCGTCTTTAGTCTAACAATTCACACTGATTCATTTCATGTCAAACAAAGCCGATAATGTATAATAATAATAATAATAATAAAATGAAATACACATGAGTTCATTTTTAAGAGGAATTTCACCTAGCGTAAATATTACTTGAGTCAGTATCCCTCAAAACTTCGCCGACAATCGATTAGTGACCTAGTTAATAGTCAGATCTCATAACTCACCTAACATAACATTGAGTCAAGATTTCAAAGGCCATTGGTTCGAATCGGGTCACCACCCGGATTTTGTCCTTTGATTGTCACTCAAACTAAGACTATCTTAGGTAGTCTTGCCATCTGTATTCCCTTATTCTCCATATTAGTTTGTTTATTAGATATATCACACAGGGAAACAGTACTGGATGACGTTTCGAACACAGTTTATTATTCATAATCATATCAATTATAATCAAACGACTTCGAAACTTGAGTTTTATAGTTTTCTTTGTTCTCTACTATTTGTCTAAGGGTAGTAGGATTTTCCAGATATCTGAGAGAGGTGATGAATCATCCCTATTACATGTACTCTCTTCAGCTGATTCGATAAACAAAGCTTCTGTTATGAATCTCTCCCCCCACCCTGTGACATTCGGTTTTAAAACTGTCATATTATCTCACCCTATTGTTATTATAGAATCAACTACACATACGTGTAATAGGAATGATTCATCACCTGTCCCAGATATTTGGAAAATTCTACTACTCCTACGAGGACAAATAAGAGAGGACTAAGATAACTATAAAACTCAAGTTTCGAAGTTGTGTGATTATAATTGATATGATTATGGACAATAAACTGTGTTCAAAACGTCATCCGGTAGTGTTTTCCTTTGTGATATATCTAATAAACAAACTAACATGGAATTACTTACTACTACAGTGCCCAAGTTCTCTTATTTCGTGATAAAGAGATTCAAGCTGGTAACACTAATGTCGGGTTATTCAGTGAGTGTCTCTGTATGTGGTTCAGTGACTTGGCTCAGTAGCCACCAAAATTATTTCCAACAGACTGCTACAGATTTTTATCAGTAGCTTCCTTCGCCAACGTGACGCAAAAGATCAGATGGCGAGCAAAAATAAATGACAAGTAACTCCGGTAACGAGCCAACCAGTAGCCTGTTGGCCAACAAACATGCTGAATGAAATGGAGATGGACTGGACAGAACGTCGAATGACACTGTGCTCCAGGCTAGCCCTCGAGTGGAACCCCAAACGGGAGACGACGAGTTGGGTTTGGGTACCGGGGTGATATGGAGGAGATGAGATACTATGGGGAATCGTTGGGCCAGTTAAAGAGGACCGCAGAGAATAGGACGAAGTGAGAATCTGCTGTTGAAGCCTAATTTTCCACTCGGAACCCAAATGAATCATAACAATAATATAGTGTGAAATATGACGTAATTATTTGATCAGGGTTGAGGTGTATGGTAAAGCGTACGTTTTAGTCTCTTTGACAATTATTAGGCATGTCTACCTGATAAGTTTTTCGGATGACAAATTTTGGTCTCTATCTTGAAATGTCACTACTTATTTTCTATGTATAATACACTGTATCGTTGGTATTAGATGGTTGGAGGCAATCGAAAGGAAGCCTCCCACCTAGGTTTCGTGCTAGCTGGCACTCATCATCAATCGCGAGCCTTAACGGCTCAGTGATAACGTCTGTGATCGACTGCAGCACTGGGTGACGCGGGTTCGAGTCTCAGAATAGACATGAATTCCTCCAGTGTTTTAGACACCCCCGTCTTGATGACTAGTGAATGCCAGCCAACTAGCACGAAACCTAGGTGACGTATGGCTTCCTGCCGATTGTCTCCAACCATCTAATAACAACATTTCATAGTGCACCGTTATGACGAGCTACCTAGTGGCATAGTGGCCACATTGCAAACTTGACTGACAGAATTCAATCTGCAGAAAACGGAGGACTAGACACACTACACTATTTACTGACCAGTCTCCAATTTAAAAAGATAATACACCGTAGAATTTGTATTAGATTTTTAGTTGCAATTGTCGTAGTCTTGAACTTGGATTTTCTGTCCATTGAAACTCGTCACCGTTTCATTCTCTGTCATAATGATAATATTCCCCTTGAACAGTTTATCACCTTTCCATTACTTATTATTATTATTATTACAGTTTCTAATAAAAGAATTAACGAGTCTGCGGGAATTGAGTAATCGTAAAATGGAATTTGTTGATGAAGCTGATCGGTACAATCAAGAATTAAGCAACAGCAATCGTCAATTGATGCGTAAAATATCTGAAGATCAACAGAAAATTCAACGGTGAGTAATAAATAACAGATTTGTTTGCTTTTTTTTAATTTTGATATATTCACTTGGTTTATTTCTTATCTACTTGAATTTTGAGTAAGACATAAGACTTTAAGTTTAACCACGAATTCATATTAGTTAGAGAGAGAACTATTGAAAACCGCATCGGTGGCACAGCGGTTAGGACTCACGCCGACCATGCACATGGTCCGAGGTTCGATCCCCCGCCGACGATTACCTGATATCAGTGGTCAGCCTGCTTAATTTGGGCTAGCGATATCACATGCTGAAAATTTCATACTTGTACCAAAATACTGTGGAATCAAGCTATAATAAAATAAATAAATAAATAAAACAGACAACCGTTTCGTCCCAGTTTTCAGTGGTTCTCTAACAATCAAATCCCTAAAAACGAACACACCTAGTCAGGCAGAAGGACAGTCTTTCGCCTGTGACACTGGCGGTAACGCTAAGTGTGTATCACGAATTGGCAGAAGTTCTGATTCATGGGCTAGCCACTGAATCGATTACCAATGGTTGAATGGTCTACAAGCTGGCCTTGTGACCAAATGGTCCTGGGCTCGAACCCAGGCGGGTGCGTACTGTTGATAGAATTTGATTTTTATCAAACAAAGGACTGGACGTTTGATACTAGTTAGTTTGCAAGCAAAGAACCGAATATTGTTAGACAGGCGGTCAACCACGAACCCGAATAGCTCACTGGTAAAGTCTCTGACCGACGGTAGCACAGGGTAACATGGGAGGGACCTGAGTTCCTTGAAAATCGCAGATACGCCTTACTGAGTGTGCTAACAAACATGAAACCTAGGTCAGATACAGTTTCCTTCCGATTGCCTCCAACCATCTAATGAGCTATTCGGCCTTAATTACATGATTCTAAGGTTTACTGATATCAAGGTTTTTTTCCACTTCTCTGTCTTTGTTGTGAATCTTTCATGTAATGTAGACTTGGACGATTTATAGACTACTGAGATATTACAAGTAACATACGTTGAACTGATACTCTAAATTATGTTCCGTTGATTATACTGTGGTGTATTCTAGGTAATCAGTTGAAAAGAAAGCTTAAGTGTAGAAATTCCGAATTCCTCCGAATACCTGACGTTTTTTTTCCACTGAATCGTAGAATTCAATGAAAATGTCAGTGTATTGTGCGTGTGTGTTTGTGTTTACCCTTTCATAGCAGTCACTGATAGAGAAGGCCTAGAAATCATTAAGTGTTGGATGACTGCTCCACTTACAGACAATCTGCTTATTTCGTCTTCTTTACTGCTGTCGAAACACGTACACACGCAGACACGCACGTGCCTTGAGAAACTCTATGACCTGATAATAGTTATGTGGTTCCAGTGAACAGGTTGTTTGATATCTGCTCATTTCATATGGAATAATAACACTTATATATAATGTCTATTTACCTGATTCTCTCATTTTATTTTCTTTCATCAACTTTACTAAATAGAATGTAGTCTATTCAAACATTATGCTGCTGAGATGTGGTAAAGAATTAGTACTATTATCAATCTATTTATGTCCTTAATTTTTTTGAACACTTTTTCAATTCACTTATACAAAATAAACAGTTTGAAAACAAGGTTACTTTAAAGTGAAATCGATTAGACTGTAGTACTACATTCATTAACGAATCTGTTGTAATAGAGAAGATTTTTTAGCTCAAGTAGAGAATTTCAATTTAATGGTTGGTGTTTCGTCTGAGCTGGTTGATTTAATTGTCCAGCTTTCATTTTCCTGCTAGACATCATGTTCAGCTCAGACTTTAATATAAAATGAGGCTGGAGTGGTCTTTACTTGAATTTCAAGAACTTCTGCCCAGTGAGATACAAACGAACGCTGGTGAAAACACTTTTCTCTAGAGCGAAGAGAATATGTTCACCAAACAAACTAGACAGTGAACTAATGTTTTTTGGAAAATGCTTGAAAGAAAATGGTTACCCACAAAGTTTCATTAACAAATATGGCAAGAATGAACTCAAGAAGCTTGATACAGCTACAGTCAGTAAGAAGCCTATTTTCATCAAACTCAACTACAAGGGTGACGACATTATGAGAATGATAAATAAAAGATTAAGCGGAGCCCTGTCTAGGACGTATCCTGCAGCGTTATTAGTCTCTGTATCCCGAACAACCTCTTCACTGGTGCAGTCAAAGATTGACAAGTACATCTCACATGTTACCTCCAACTGTGTATACCGATTCACATGTATCTGCGGGGGCAGTTACATTGGAAGAACAGAGAGGAGGGCCTACGTCAGATTCTGTGAACATGTACCAAGGAGCCTCCGGTTAAAGGGACCGAATTACTTAAGCTCTTCAATTGCAAAACATCTGAATGACACAGGACACCGAGTGGATGTGCTGGAATCATTCAAAATAATTAACAGACAGAGTACCTCAAGTCTTCTCAGATTTGCTGAAGCTATAGCAATAAAACGATTGAGGCCTGACGTGTGTGTCCAAAAAGAATCCGTTGTTGGACTTCATTGCCCTGGTGACTCACTTCTTAGTAACTCTTTGTTTTCTAATTTTGTTAACTTATCTTTTCACTCCACCCCGTCTTTACTTTTCGCTTGACTCTCTTAAGAGATAATTTTTCTTGATCTTCTCGTATCTAATTACGTAACTATTGCTAATTGTCTTTTGTTGCCACCTTAACAACACAACTTCTCTCTAAGAAGATATATATGTGTCGTAACACTTTAGACGCCCTGTAAATCGTAACACTTTATTTTACTATGACGCTTTGACACTATGCTTGCTAATGGACAAAGGTTGTACGCAGCTGATGAGAACCAACGAAATAAAAATGAATCCAGATTATTCTGCGCCAAAGTTTCTTATTTGTTTGTTTAAAATGAGGCTGTTTTGAATTCCTTCCTCCATGAATGATATAATTATATCTCCTGACAATCATATCATCCGTGGTGGAAGAATTCAAATAAGTTCTTTTTCTATTAAAGTGTGCACTGAAGATGTTGTCTAGAGGAATAACGAAAGCTTCACAAATAGTGTTAAAGTGAATTTCTCTAAACTGTCATATTGTTGATTTTAGTTTCAGATGAGAACAAGACTTGCGTGTACACCGATTGGGAGTAAATCGAATATCTCTCTTATCTCGCCATCCGTTTCTCTTCGAATCTCTGTTGGTTGTCTCATATCTGGTTGATTTCTAGGAAGATTTTTCATTTTACTTATTACATCATAAAGATGTTGAGACTTCCTTCTGGCATAACTCAACCTCTTCTCTTACAATTTATAAATTAATTCATGTATTCTGCTCATTTGCGGATGATTTATGTTTAATGTCACACAAAATCGAAGAATTACAAGCGAAAACCGACAAACTGATCGAAGAAGCAGCAAAGACAGGACTGCAGGTGACCATAGACAAGACAGAGGTTATGAAAATAACCAACCAACAACAACAACAGCATCAACATCCAGCTTCAATCACCATCAACGGGAGGGATTTGAAAGAGGTTACTTCATTCTCTTATCCAGAGAGCATTATCTCAACTACAGGAGGAACGGACGACGATGTCAAATCGAGAATCGGAAAGGCGAGAAACACATTCATCCACCTGAGACCAATCTGGAAATCTTCGTCACTCAGCATCAACAACAAAATTCGGATTTTCAATACAAACGTCAAGTCACTCATTTCTTCTATACGGATCAGAAACTTGGCGTGTCACAAAGAATATTTTCAACAGCCTGTTGCAGACCTTTATCAACAACTGTCTTCACTCTATACTGAAGATCAGATGGCCGGAAAGAATCACAAACAAGAAGCTATGGGAACAAACGAAACAGGAACCAATCGCTCAACAATTATGCAGGAGAAAGTGGAGATGGATTGGACACTCGCTGCGGAGGCCGCTGGGTGACATCGCGCGTCAGACCATCACTCGAGTGGAACCCGAAAGGGAAGCGGCGAGTGGGACGTCCAAGGGTGACATGGAGGAGATCGTGTGAAGAGGAGTTGAAACAGTATGGACTAAAATGGATGCAGGTGAAAAGTACAGCAGAAGGCGGAAGCAAGTGGAGGCGTGTAGTTGAAGCCCTATGTTCCACTAGAAATCCAAGGGAACAAAAATAATAATAATTCTGCTCATTCTTCTTTGTTGTTTGCCCTTATTCTTCCTTGAACTTCTCAAGAAGGACTGTGTCATATTATGTAGAACATTAAAGGTTGTAGGAAGGGTTGAATGGTGTGCCTTTGACACTCAACTAACTGACATTGTTTTTGGTTGATAGACACTTCAATTTTTGCAAGCAGTTGGCTAGAGTTATGGTGTCTGATACCAATCATATTCTTTGTGATTCACAACTTTTTCCCCGTATCTCTTCGAGGAGTGAAACGAGAAGAAACTTCATAAGAAGCATTTATGCTCGTACGACTACTAAATATAAAAATTCTACCATATCACCATATTTAGCACGGGTGGTTGTGTGTGAAGAGAGAGAGAGATATGAGAAAAGAACTTATGAACCTTTCATATCAGTCGCTAAATTGCAAAGTATAATAAGAATTATTATTATTACTTGTATTATTTATAAATTTATTATTCATAATATTCCACTAACTTTCAGTCTATGTGGTGTTATTATTTTTTCAATTTTATCTGTGTATATATTTATAAAAGGAGCTCAAGTGTTGGCACTGTGTGTATAAAAGCGCTGAAAATTCCATTCTCTATGAATATTATTATTATTAAAAATAGTATGTCGAGGAACCCAGGAAGGTTAGTCTACATCTTCGCACGTTGCTCAAGTCAAAAGTCAAGCACTCCATGGATTGATGGCATGTTTTCATTTGACCACCACTAACTCTACTCCAACCTTATCCCAGATTAGTTAACATTGCTTACTGTAAAGACTATTCCCCGATATACCTACAACATGCGAGAGTGTTGTATACTTGTGGAATTATTGAGAAAAATGTAGGTTGTTTTTTTGGTGAACATCCACCAGGCTGAAAAAAGCGAATTCTAGAATGTCTAGAATGACTGTGTAAGCTTTACTATTGAACTTCTTTTAAGCAGTCGAATTGATGTGACGGATTTGTGTGTGTGTGTGCTTTTTTGTTCCTTTACATTCCCAGTGGAACATAAGAGGCTTCAAGCCAGACGCTTGAAGTTTCGGCAGCAGTCGTGTTTTTTCTTTTTATGGGACAAGTTGCCAGCCTTATGGCCAACCTTACCTCTTTACCAGTCTTGTTACTGGCTTAGCAAGGATAAAGGAGTGCGCCATCGGCTGTGGATCGAACTCCGGACCACCTACATGGCTAGTGAACATTCTACCCCTGTGCCATCAACGCACAGTGTAGTGTGTATTTTTCTAGAACTATTGTCAAATATATTTTAAGAACTTCTAAAATTAAACGAGCATTTAAAAAAGTATTTCCTGTATGATGAGTTAAAGATTACCCCCCCCCCCAAAGAAGAAGGAAGACTAATTTTAGAGTAATATGTGATAAATAATGCGTAGGTGGCTTTCGAGAAGTTCTTGTACTATGTGTATCATTGTGCCTCTCTACAAAGAACTTAGAAATCGATTTTTTTGAAACCTACACCGGAAATATATACCCAGTTTATTGATACATCCATTCACTATGGTTTGTTCAGCTACACAGTTACCGTGTTTATTGTATTTCATTGAATGCTGGTGATGTAACGTCAATCAAAAACCACATTGTGCTTCAAAACCCCTTGGTGTGTGGTTTACTCAATACCTTCTCTGTGTGTGTGTGTGTGTGTGTGTGTAAGTGTGAGAGAGTGTTCCATTCTCAGTTCTGCTTTTATTTATTTGATCAATAATACTGGTATGCATTAGCGTACATTATAAACAATCTTTTTTTTCTGGTTAATTGTCTATGTGAATGTTTCACTTTCTCATATTTATCGTGTTCTCTGATATAAGTAGTCTCTATTAGGTATCATTCAAACTGTCTTTTATTTTTAGAATTATAAATATATACATATGAGGTGATCTTAGACAAATACAGTTTACGTGTGTTTGAAAAACTAACTATGCCTTAATGATTTTCTACGCTTATATGCTTCTCAAAGAATGTATAAAATGCTATTAGAGAGATTATATCCAGTGGTGAATTCATAAATTGAAGGAGTTTGTATGTGTGTGTGTGTGCACGTCCGTGTTATGTCACGATGATATGCATAATTCAATGAATTCAATAATCAATCACACAGTTAATTTGTTCTCATCTGTTTTGCAATTTTCAAAAATATCCAAACGTTGGTTTGCAGGGACTTGATTTGATTAGTTACAGGATTTAATCGGACAGCTGTTTCGTCAGCCTAGTTTGGGGCTCTTAAGATTTACGCACCCACCCCACTACCAGGGGTTGAACTCAGGACCCTCCGGTTACATGGAGAGCTAGCTCGTAGACCACTAAGCCACTGGGAGCCAGTCCATGAATTTCAACTTCTACCAATGCGCGATATAATCAACACTTGAATATCAATCTAATGCTGATTAGTGACTGTCTGTATTCAGGTAGGTAGTTAACTGGGTACCAGTGACATGTTGTGACCAGTAGGGTATGAGAACAAATACTCCCCAGCGATGACATTGGCTAGTGGTCGCGCTATATCGCCAATTGACAGTGGTTGGAATTCATGGACTGGTCACTGGATAGGGTCTCAGTAGCTTAATGGTCTACGAGTTAGCTTGACTTGCAACCGGAAGTTCCTGGGTTCGAACCCTGGCGGTGGAAAGGGTGCGAACTCCTGAGGTGGAGGTCCAAAACCAGCCTGACGAAACAGCTGTCTGTCCAGTACTTCAAGCTGGTTTTCCAATGATTCTATAACCGATGTCAGCTCATGATGAAATCCTGTAATAAACATCACCCTTCATCCTTTTCTGTTTTGTTTTTTCATAGCTATTTTAATCTGTTCAACACTTTTCATTTCTCCTGTGTATTTTTTTTCTCAAACTAGCTTATCAAATACAATTGCATCATTAGAAGATCAAGTAGCTGGATTAACAGAACGTTTGAAAAAATGTGAATGTCAAGCAATGATTACTGAGAAACGATCCGCCTATTCGCATTCTTCACCCATGTCTACTTATCGACGTCGATCGAGCCGACATTCTATCTCATCCTCCTCGTCGATATCGTCGGCAATAGTATCATCTAGAAAAATGACTACTGTTGTTAGCGCTGCTACTGCTCCTACTACTACTACTAACAACAATAATAATAATATTAATAAAAGTAGTATTAATAATGATAATAACACATTTTTCACAAGACATTGGAATAGATCGTTGCGTTCTAAAAATTATTTTCCAAATAGAAGTAAGTCGAATCAGATGTCTTATTCCATGAATCGAAGATATTCTAGTCAACGTAATCCATCTAGAAGGAAATATCATGAAAAAGGTGGATTATTCTACATAGATGATGATTTCTTCGATCAACCAGAGATTGGTACCAGCGCACACCATAATCATCATCATCACCGACGTCTTCCACAATCTTCAATCTCATTAGAAATCAAAACTAACAATAAACAGCATTCACAACTGTCCAATGATGCGAGCATTCTGTCAAAACGAGGTGGACAACACTCTTCAACACTTCTTGACAGGGATAACAATTACGATGATGTTGAAGATGATGATGATACCGCCTATGGAATTGATTACAATGACTGTATATCAGATATGCAAAGATTGTCGCTGTATCGTACATTCAGTTGGCCACGTATTAACGATGAAATCTTTGATGACAGATTTGACGAACCACCACCTCTTCAGTCGGATTATGATAATACTTTCCAGTACCGTTTAAATAATGAACATAATACTGGGAAATTATTCAAAGAAAATGAGGACAGTGGGGATGATCACGATGAGGATGAGGATGATCTTCATGATAGTGACAGAGGTAAGTGTTTGTCGTTGTCTTCTGTTGACATTTCCTACGAGGAGTACACTGGTATATCCTACTGGGTGTTTATGTAACAAATTTACTTCGATGTGTTTTGTGTGCGTGTGTTTGTGTGTAACGACCAAATTTATTCTGTTATATTGGTTTTAACGCAAGGAACTGATCTCTGCTTTCTACTGTATAGTCAAGAAAAAACGTCTTTGAGACATACGCTATCACGAAACGTTCCAAACGCAGGGAAAAGACGATTACTCTTCAATATTCTGGCGGTTCTATTAAACAACAACAATAAGAATAACATCAAAACTCGAATTTACCTCAACAGTGTCGTGAGACAGCTAGCTATACAGGCAATGTAGGTTTCTGTACTGTAAGACAAAACTGGTTAACCAAAGTTCAACTGTATAAGGCACCTTAGAATCGAGGAGAAGGAGAATGTTCCCAACGAACGAGGTGGGATCAATCAAAAGCTCTGTCCACAAGCATCACACACCAACGCTTCCCATGGACAGTCTTGGTTCAAAATCACCTTCATTCCTGGCTCAAACAAACTCTTATCATTAAACAACACACTGCCAATGTACACACAACCAAAAAGAGAAGTATTTCGATTAAAGATTAAACAAGGCAATACAAAGGCAAATAATAAAGGTCAAAAATTAACATTTGATATGCAAATGTCAAGTTAGTGATATACAGTGTAGGGGGAGGGGGAAGTATAATAATTACAAAGTTAGTTGAAACATCTAAACATAAGTATAAATATTATAAATAGATCATCCCGGAGGGATTCTCTAAACAATCTGTTCATTATAGTGTGTGTTGTGCACTCGCGTGCATCACATTCCTTTCTTAAATAATTCCTTCGTTATCATAAAAAATCAAGGGCATTTTCTAAATTGATGATCGGACTAAACTGAGATAGTCCCCGAGGCAGTACTCGAACCAGCAGCGTCCAAATTACCATTGTGGCATTCTACAAGCTAAGCCTTGTGACACAACTGCCTATCTACAGGTCATCATCATTTCACTGGAATCACCAAAGGTAAAATACCTAATTGTCACGTAACTGAAGGACACATCACTGTCCGTTTAAAAGCCCAGTGAAGTGCTTCTATCTGTTTTGTGGTACGTTTGGTGGTTCAGTGGTATAACACTCGTCAACCACACAGAAATGGTGAAGGTTCAATTCTCTGCTGACGTATTCCTAAACTTCGCTTTGCTATTAGTATGCCTGGTAAAAGTTTGAACGTTAGGTGTGAGTCTAACAACCCTCCTTCCCTACGTAAAAAGCATTGATGCTATTGAAACTACCGAAATTTATGCTTGAAGAACTATGTTTCGCTCAGAACCCAAAGGAAGAGAATAACATTAAACAGTTTGTTTGAAAGGGATTTGATTTCTTCCAAGTTTCACTACGGATTGATATCAATCAGAGAACCATTAAAAACCAGCTGAGAGTACTAGACAGCTGTTTCATCAACCTAGTTCGGAACCCATCTCCAGCAAACACCCACTGCCAGGGTTTGAACCCAGAATCTACCGGTTACAAGGCTAGCTTATAAACCATTAAGCTACTGGGATCCGACTAAAATAGCGCTAAAATCACGAAGTAGAAGAAGTTAGAATTCGTGGGCTGGCGATTCAGTGCAGAATAATATGGATCCATTTTATTTCGTTGGTCCCCATCAGCTGCGTACAACCTGTAATCTTCTATAAAATAAGTCAGTCTCTAGTTTTAACATACTTTTATCTATCAGTAGGCTTATTGTAAGAGCGCCATAGTGAAATAAAACATCAGGAGGATAAGGTATCTGAAGCGTTACAGTATATATATACATATATATCTTGTTACAGAGAAGTTTCTCAAAATGTTAATTCACAAATTTTCTGTTCAGTTGGTAACAAAAACTAGTAACAGTTACGTAGTTAGGTAGAAGAAGATTAAAATTTGATGTGCGATGAGTCAAATTTTAAAAGATGATGATGTGATACGGTGAGTAGAACTCCGAAGGTCAAGAAAAATCATCGCTCGTGGACGTCAAATGGAAACAAAGGAGGTGGAGTGGGGGAAAAGATAAGTTAATGAAATTAGACAACAGAGTTACTAAAGCATGAGTCACCAAGGTAATTGAAGTCCAACGAAAGATTCCTTTTGGACATATAAGTCAGGTTTCACTCGTTTTATTGCTATAGCCTCAGCAAACCGAAGAGGACTTGAGCTATTTTGTCTGTTAATTATTATTTAACGTGAAAATCCCCATTGAGTCACATAAAAGAAAAGGCGCTGAACGAAAATTTACTCTTTTTGCCGAATTCGTTCTCAAGCTGCACGATCACATATATATGTAGTAAATAGTCTTAGCAACTAAAGGAATATTTCCAAAGATGTGACATTATGATTGTAAATTTTAGATAAAAAATTACGTAATGTAGAAAGCGTTAATCGGATAGAAACTAAAAGAAAATTAAATAAGCCAACTGAGTGACGTAATATATCTGACGGGGTTCACAACAGTAGTAATAATGAGTGGTGGAGGAAAACAATACAACTGACAAACATAAAACAAAAATTACGTATTTGGTGTTAAGATAGATCAGGTTCACTGTAGATTTAATGACTGAACAAACTTCTTTTGTATGCAGAGTTCAGGTTTTAACATGTAAATTGCCATTGCTTCTGCGGTTTGAAGAATTTTGGTTCCTACTGTTTCAGCAAAATTCCCACGTATTCTGTAGATAACTTTGAAGTTCCTTTGTGGGTAATTTTGGTGTCCAGATTCGATCAGGTGTTCCAGGATAGATCTGTGGCACGGGGGCGGGAGGAGATCATTTTTCTTCTTTATAAAACCATGAAGGTAACTAAGCGTTCGATGATACGTTTGAATAGCGAACTCTGGGTACGGCCGACACACTTAGCTCCACACGAGCAGGTGAATTCATAGATACACATGGATGATACACATCGTGAATTGGCAGAAGTTAGAATTCAAGGACCATTGGATCGGGTCTCATTGGCTCAATGGTCTACGAGCTCGCCTTGTAACCAGAAGGTCCTGGGTTTGAACCCCGGTGGGTGCGTACTGATGAAGAGTCCCAAACTAGGACGAAACAGCTGTCCAGTAATCTCAGGTTTTCCAGTGGTTCTCTAACTGATGTCAGCTCATGATGAAATCCTCCATGCAATCACACATCGATAAGACCAACAGTGGTGGCTTATCCTTCACATTTTTTGTGAATCACTAGTTTCGTAGAGAAAGTTATTCGAATGATTTTGAATGATCCCTGTGAGCCTACTAGGTGTCCTGTATCTATCAGGTATTTGGTGATTGAAGAGCTTAAACTGTTGTTTGGCCCATTTAACCGAATGCTCTTAGTCACATGTTCGAAGAATCTGACTAAGGCTTTACTTTCTGTTCTTCCAATGTAGCTGCACTCGCAGATACATTTCTGAAAGTGACATTCTCGTTGGACATTTTATTTCCTCTGTTTTTAAAACTTAATTGTTTCGTTTTCAGTATTTGATTCAATTTCTGTCCGTTATTATTATTATTATATCACGTCATTAAAAATACACTATGCCTTGAAACATGTTCATAAAGGCACTTTTTCTTATCGACCCATTTTTTGTTCATATAAACACATGTTTCGTTTTCTTTCGTACAATCAATAGAAATATTCTCTCGTTACAATTTTCGGACACTTTATTAAAAATCATTCGGAAACGGTGTGTAATAAGCATTTACTTTGTGTGTTTGTTTTTTGTTAAATGTTTCAAAAAGAACAGTTCCTTTTTGCCTACCTTTAACGCTTTATTTAAACGAGGAGTTTTTGTTAACATGATGTGAGATTGTTTTTGGTGAACAAGCGGAGATTCGTCACTTTAGATGTTTGCAAATACGCATTTTTCTAACTGACTGAGTTACAACATAGAAGTCTGTACAAGAGTTCAGCAGTTCAATTTGCCACACTCCCATACACCACACAATTGCAGGGGGAATATTGAAAAAGGCTACTTAAAATGAACTGAAATTTGCGGAACGTAAAGCTTGAAGATATGAAGTCTCACTAGCGGTGTTGTTTTTATAGGATAGGATTACTGCTGGCCTCGTGCCTAGTCTCCCCTCTTCCCAGGGCTTACTACCCCGACTAGTAAATTAGGGGAGGTTTAAGAGTGTATCGGCCAGTGGAGTCGAACCCTGACTACACACGTGGCCAGTGAGCAACCTATCACTGAACCACTAATGTACATCTCTTATGTGATAGTTTCATAATAATATTCTAGGTCAGAGAAGCCAAACAATACTTAGAGATAATATTATGCAAGAATGCAACTCTGCTGTGTGTGTGTGTGTGTCTGTAAATAGAGGCCTTATCGATCCAGATTTTCTAAAGTGAACTGTGAACAGTCTCAATTCATGTAATAACATTCATGACTGCCTTAACAGTATGGCATTATTGTTCTTTTTCTTTGTATTGACATTAAATCGGTTGTTTGAAAGAATCTATCCAAATAGTGTACAGATGTTATGTGATGCTTTAACTTGTAAAAACAAAACATGTATTAATATCAGTAAAAAGTTTGAGCATTGTGGATTATGGTCTATGAGCTAGCTCACCTTGTAACCAGAAGGTCCTGCCTTCGAATCCCGGTGGGTGTGTACTGATGAAGAGTCCCAAACTATGACGAAACAGCTGTCCAGTACTCCCAGGTTTTCCAATGGTTCTCTAACTGATGTCAGCTCATGATGAAATCCTCCATGCAATCAAACAAAATCCTTACAAAACCAATACTTGTAAAATAAGAGTCGAACCCTGGACCGATTGACTAGAGGTATAGTCACTGGGTTACATCTCCATATGGATGCCTTTCAGTGGTATAACCTGAGAATGCACTGCCATTATCTATGTGTATTCAATGTTCATCTTCACACTAACCAACATTGGTACCAATTAAATCAGTTCGACCAAGTAGCTAGCCAAAAAGACATCGAGTG